CAGGTAATGATGTCACTTGCTGTCCAGTGGTCTGGCTGGGGGCTGTTCCCCTGCTCTCTCTCAGTGCCTATGCAGGAGGCCGTCTCAGCCTGTCTCGCTGATAACCCTTTTGTGAGCCTTCCCCATCGCACAGGACATCCTGTAAATTCAGCTCTGCCAGTGCTTCTGCAGCTCCACTACAAAATCTCATTGTGCTACCGTACAGCCAAACAGTGATGGCAGGAGAGAGTGCTTAGTACCAACTGATTCTGGGTTTTGGGCCAACCAACTCAACTGCCCATTGTAGTTGCCAGTTTATTCATTATTAAGTCATTTTTTGGTGACAGTGAAACATTTAAAACTGCGTTATCCTTTTTGCAAGTCTCTCTCACTTTCTCCTCCCTCCTTTCTAAGCCACAATGATATTTTGTTTTGCTGGTTTCTTTATTGTTCATCTATTGTGTCAGGCTGGAAAATGATCCTTTTTTATTTTAATAATTGCTCTGGAAATGATTGTGCTCAAACAGTGCAGTACTTCACCAAAAGTGGAAGTTATGAGAGCAGAAATGGCATGGATAGAAATTGATGCTATTGGATTAACCTGCTCTGTCTGTGAAAGAAAAGTCCTGATCTCTTAAACAGTATCTGCAAAGAATTGACATTTTACGTCAAAGTGAACTAGCAATTGATTACTGCAAAGACACGACTAGATAATTTCTCCCCAGGGACAGGAATTTGATGCAAAAATGTTTCTGGATAAGGTTTGATTTCCATTTGAGATTTGGGCACATATGTGTGTGCTGTGTTTTGGGGATGAGGTATTATTTATATAAGCACTTTTTACTCTGAGTAGTTCTTTCCTGTCTTGGTGCATACAAAAAATCTTTTGCCTCTGTATAGTGTGCTAGCCTAACAAAATTCATCTTGTTTCCTATGAGGATCTCAGTTTCTTCTGCAGATGTGAATGAGTAGCTCAGTTTCATTGCACCTTCAGTCCATCCTTGATCTTCATTCTTGAACAGAAAAATCTGTTCATTTTCTTAGGGCTGATTGTAACTTTTGCAATATTCACTCTTGCTAGTGTGAAAGGGCAGAGACCTCAAGTATGTTTTACTCTGCGTTTTGGTTTTGGTTTGGTTTTATTTCAGTATTTGTAAGGTAGAGATTTCCTATTGTTGTGTCTGAACCGTTTCATATGTTAGCGAATTCCACTCTGCTTTTCTAGACAGTGAAGTTTTAGACTCAAGAAATGTCTGGCTTTACTGGCAGTAGCTGTTTTCAGGGGGGGTGATGATACAGCCAGCACAGGAAACACTGAGCTTGTCGCTTGTTTTTGGCACTCCCCTTCCAGACTTCCACAACCCCTCAGTAAAACCTCGCAAATCCATTTTCACAGTGAATTTAGTCATTCTTATGAAGAGCTTCCAAGTGGGCGAGAAGCTATAGCTCTGTAGTTCTTAAGCTTTACTCAGCTAAAACACATTTAATAGCTTAAGGTCATACAGTATCACCACCAGAGATATGTAATCCAGAAACTTGAAGTCTGTGAAGTCAAGCCAAAGTGGTACCAAAAGGTACTCTGGTAGCTGTACAGGAAAGCAAAGCTGGAAGAAGGCAACAGTGCAGGACACCTGGTATTGTCTGACCCAGGAGACAGCCAGAGCTTGTGAAAACTCAATTGCCTTTCATTCCCAGAACCTTAATGTAGCAGAGGCACTGCATATTTGTGGACCCAGATGAGATACTCAGTGATACAGAAGTTGTTGGCATTGCTGTACCAGTGCAAACTTGTAGATCACAGTGTACTGTGCAAAAAAAACAGGGAGGAATAAGGGTAACAATTTTTGTCACTGGATTTGTAATGGATTTTCCGAAAGCAGTTCCTTCAAGATGATGTTTCTGTGATACACAAAAATTTCTCCTAAGTACTCCAAGTAATGACAAAACTACATGGTTCCTCTTTTCTGTGGTATCAGACAGCTGATCGACAAGGCATGATGCTTAATCATGGAATTTCAGAGAACAGTATGTTTTATAGTCAGGATGTGTTGCTTCACAGAGGACAAGAAAATTTATAATTTTCATTTTACAAATTTTAGATACTGACCTAACATGTTTCCCTGGTTTGCAGTTCTCTGGATGTATTCAGTGTCTATCAAGAGAAGGTACCACATAGAGTATTTGCCTACACCACCTGTAGCTCCGGTGGTTAGGAATGATATGTGTGAATCTGCTTCCAAATTTCTGTATTTTTTTCAATGCTTTGTAGTGCAGCAAGCAATCAAAATCTCATTAGTAAGAAGCAAGTCTTCAGCTTTTGTGTTTCAGACTTTCTGTTTAAAAAGACATTTCATTTTGTGTCGTAATGTCTTCTAGCGAAGTTCATTTGAGGATCCTGTTCCCTTTATTTGCAGATCTTGAAAACACAGGCCTGCACCCTGAACTCACACAGTATTAAGTTAGGAGCCACCTTTGTTTTCTTGAATGGAGTCTGCTTGTTTTAGCACTGCTGTGAAAGCATAGTTCCCTCTGTACTTTATTATTGCTGAAGAGGAGGCGGCAGGTTGGGAGTGGGGGGACAGTCCTTTTGTACAGTACAACCTGTTTTCAGCTGGGATGAGCTTTTATGAGCCTAACCATTGGCAGAAAGTCTTTATCATTGTGAACATCATGCTTGGGAGGTAGAGAAGCAAGGTGTTTGCCTAAGAACTGTCCTTTTCCTAGCCAAATTGAGGGATCAGTGAAATAGAAGTAATGAAAATACAGATAGGTGTAGAAGGGGACATGTGAAATGGCCATGGGCTTAGGAATTTTTTACTAATGTTTGTTTTCTATTTCTTGGGAACTGATGAAAAATGACTGCAGGCATATTTCTTCCCTCATCTCTCATTATGTATTAAATGCTCATTGAATTTTATGGGTTAAGCTTTTTCTGACATTTGTGTTCTACGTGGAGTACACAGAGCTAGCTAAAGGCTGGACAGACTTCAGGGAGGGGCTTTCTTAGTTTTTTCCTTCTGCTTTATGATGCTTCATAGTAAAATTGTTCATTTTCTCTCCTTTTTGTGTGGCAAACAGGATTCTAAACCTACCTCTGGTTTTGGTTTAGATAGTATTCCTTAAAGTCTCCATGAACGGTAAATTCTTCTCTACCTTCACTATGGAAAAGTGGCAGCATTTCAGGATTAAGAAGAGAGAAAATATTTTAAAAGAAACTGACAATGACCTGTTGTAAAGTCGGTGCAGTGAAGCTGCTGCTCTTACGCATGTTTTGAGAAGAAAAGAAACCGAGGTCTTTTGAGGTCTTATTTAAGTTACAATTGCAACAGCTTACAAGACATTGATGAGATGTGCTGCTTGAGGATTTTGAGGCTGTTGATGGAGTTTTACTGAAAATCACTCTTTTCTTTGTCAAGTAGCAAAAGCTTCCCTAAGTCAGAATTTAGAGTTGATGCTGCCTGTACCCTTCATTTGTCAGGTATAGAGGAAAAATAGAAAATTGGCAAAACTCTCATTTTTATAAGGAAATAGGAAGCCTGGAGGTTCTGTTGTTTCTTTGACGTTGTGAAGGCTATCTTGGAGAGAGGCTAAGTCTCCGTTTTCTGTCCTCTCCGTGAGTATTGTAGTAGGAATTTGGGACAAGGAGTGGAAAGAATGAAAGGTTACTAGCCAGAACTAAGTAGGAAAGAACAGAGGGGTCACTGGAAAGCTATATAAAGATGGAAAAAGTGATCCTAGAGCTTGGAAGATGAGACAGCTACATGTGATGTAAAGCATGTGGGGATATGTTGAAATGTGAAGCAGGCATTTCAAGATGATGCTTTTTAAGAAGTAGGAATAATTTCCACAGTGGCATGCAAAGGCTGAGTTTAAATGAACAAGATAAAAAAAAAAAAAAGGCATAACTGAATCAGAAAAGCATGCAGAGCGTAACTTTTCTACAGCACTTATCTGTACTTTCTTGGCTTGGTAAGTGTTGCCTTTGAAAAAATGAACTGATTGCCAGGAAGTTACTGGGATTATCTGTATAATTACACCGTAGCCTCAGTTTGAAAAATAGCAGTTAAGTTTGGAGTAATTTCTGGAATGTTTGTTGGATGCTGATTACAATTAGCATGAGTAGATTTCTGCTATGACTTACAGAATAGGGAGTGGTAAATATGGAGAGCAATAGGTCTCTCTCCTAAATCCTTTCTGTGGTGACAATTAGCAACTTGTGTTGTATATGTCTAACCTGTTTAGGGGGAAAAAAAACTACTGCAGTTTTTTAGTCCAGAATTTTTAAATGGGATTTACAGTGTTTCCTGCCCACCCCCACACCTTATTTGTTTGGGGTTTTTTGTTGGTTTACTTTGCACGAAAGAATAGAAAAAGAAAATAATAGAATATATATGCAGAAGCTGGGTGGACCTTTATAAACATGATACCTATGAAAATGCCTTCATTCTGTTGGATCAGCTGATCAAACTTTGCATGGCAATTCAATATATTCATGTACTGCAAATCTGTGACTACCTGGAAAAAAGGATAGCATAATGTTTTAAGCTGTTTTTCTTAATAAAGAAGAAAAGTTAATGTGATCACTGAACTGTAGAACAATAGTTGTTGAGGGAATAAATGTATCCTAAATTCTAATAGGTGTTTCTAAAAGTTTTCTCTTTTTTGGGGGGGAGGGCTCTTTTTTCTTTTGTTGGTGGAAAAATATTAACACAGTTCCAATGTCTCTGTAGGTGACCCTATTTCCTTTCAAATCTGGTCATGGTCTATGCATTGGCCTTCCTGCTGAACTCACTTTGTGTGAATTCTAGTTTGTGTGGTCAAGTGGTTTTTGTTGTTGTTGTTCTGGACCAAATTCTGATGTGCTCTTTGAAACTTCTGCCAAGTCTGTTGTGGATGGTCGTGTAAGCAAGTGGGGCTGTACAAACTCACACACTGGTATTGCAGCAGCCAAGGAGCTTGGTTGTTGACTGCGCACCCTGTTCTCTTGTTACTCTCAACAACTTTTTTTTCCTTCCTATTAGGAGCAAATATCAGCATGACTAGAGTCTGAGGAAGGGCTTCTTTGTTCCTGCCAGGAGTTTGCGGGTGCAGAGGAACAGTGCAAGCCCAGCAGGGACATTTTAAGCTACCATGGATACCCCCACCGATTTGGTGCCGTCCTCCATGATGTCCCAGCCTGAGGTGATCGAGGTGAGTAGGCCACAATGGAACTTTGGCAGGTGAACTGATTGAACCTCATTGAATCCTAGCTTTTTCTCTCTCTCATTTCTGAGTGTCATGGGAATTTTTCCTGGAATCTTGTGTTAAAGACACAGGTCATTTACTAAGGATGTTGTTATACTTTGACACATGACATTGCTGTGTTATACTGCTATTTGTAGAAGAAAACATATGGCAAAATATGATCTTTATTGACTCCATGGAGATGATCACTCTGCTATACTTTGATTTTTTTTTTTACTGTGCCTAATAAATACAAAGTAGAGGGCTATAATATGGATAAATTGGAATAATACCAAAGGAAAATTCAGGTTTAGTGTTCTAACCAGAAAGGTTTTAAGCTAAAAGAAGCAATAAAATTGATAATACACTTAGAATTACTAACACACTAATCTTGCTTTCATGAATCCAAGTGTGTCTTTCAGACTTCATATTTTTAAATACCTAAAAGATTTCTTTAGCTCTGTGTACTGAACACCAAGTACTTGTGTATTCTGATGAAGTAAAAACTACAAACTGAAAAGGAGATTTTTCATAACAGTGAAGATTTCATCTCAGAAAAGTATTTTCAAAGTCCTCTTGACTTCATAGAGACCCAAGTGCCTGTTACAGTTTAAAACTTTTAAGGATATGTATTTTTCTGAAAAGGGCCCCACAACTGATTAACAGAATACCTGGTAGGAGGTGGATGCTGAATGCTTCTGTTCCAGGCTACCTGACTGCTGCCAGACTCTTCTCCATTTCTGGGGAAAAGCTCTCCCTGACCATCTCTGCACATGGTCTGCAAGACACTTGCACCCCTGTCTCCATTGGTCATCTCTTCAGAGCCTTCTTTATGTATGAGAAATTTGTGTATCTAAGGATTGTTGTTCAGGACAAATGCCTTCTCAAAGGGAAAATAAGATCAGCTGTGGTGTGAGAACGAGTGGAAGAAAAGCTATCACTTGTAAAAGACATGATGATCAGCACAGTCACCCTTCTGTTGTGTTGAATAAATGCACATGTCCTGGGTCTGCAGGGAAGTTTTGGCCAAATACATTCTGCCTGGACTTTTGTCACTAGGCCAAAGACTAGAAATAAATAGATGTTTCTGATCATTAGTTAGTAACCAAGACAGCTCTCTGTCCATGCTTGAATTTTAGAGACTGTGTTTCAATGAGATTTGTCTTGGGAGCCAAAAAGGAATTACAAGAGGAAGCAAAGGAAAGACTCGTATCTCAGTGTGGGAAATTATGGCAGAAAAAAATATCATTCTCTCAACCTTATGTTGTAAAAATAGGCTCAAAATTGATATCTGTAATTGAAGAGTTACATGCTTGCATGAATTCCCACAGATATCAGTAAATCATTGTGGATCTGATGGTTGATATAAGTCTTCAACCGTATGTAAAAGGATCAGATCTCCAAAGAATCAGCTGGGAACCATGTGTATATTTCTGAGGATAAGGAAGACCTTTTTAACAGACAAGGACATAGTGAGACATATATAAGGAGATAATCACTGGATGGAAGTATTGAAGTAAAGTGTTTTTCATAATAACTATGAGTTGTTGACATACAAGTGAATTTTTGGATATAGTTTAGAAAACAGCATTGATTAAAATACTTTTTTTTTTCCCCAGAGGACATTATTTTACCTTTTAAAACTGAGCAGATGCCACAGTGTGCTGCAGAAGACATTTAGAGACTAACGTTTTAAGGAAGGACTTTTTTTTTTAAACTTGGAAGTAACCTTGCATGCTTTTTGCATGAGCTAGATGGCATCTTAGTTACAAAAGAAGTGTTTTGCTACTTTACTTTAAACTGTCTTTATTTTTAATCTTTTTTTTATTCTTTTGTCTTTAAACTTTCCTTTAGTTTTGCCAGCATAGTTGGCTTTCTTCACATTTAGTCAGTTTAGACTCAGAAGTAAATATTATCTATTTTGTATACCCATATATGTACATGTGCATGTGTGTATACATTGCACTAATAAATACTCCTCTGCCTATCATCAGTCGTTTTACTGCACTGAGCAAACAAGAACAGATGCTTATTTACCATGGGAGAGACTTTCAGAGACCTCAGCAGGAGGTTTTGCAATCCAGAGCCCACCCTGACAGGTTTTTGCTTGAGCTTCAATCCTGCAGATGCTCGTGGTGGCACCACGATAAGGGAAGTTCCTGCTATAATGTAGTTGCAAATGGTTCTTTTCCCAAGATTTGTCTTCTGAGTCAGGTGTCAAAAGATTCACATTTTGAAAAAGTTTTTGAAGGTCACTTCTCAATACCAGATGTGAAATTGTTATTACTATCTTAAAATATTCTTATATAGGAACTGCTTCTGATGCTCTCCACAGCCCTGTATTGAAGCAATGCATTTGCCACAGTCATGTCTCTTCATCCCCTCCCAATGCAGTGACCTATCCAAAGCTCTCATCTTCTTTCCCCGCCCCCCAACATCTTGTTACCAGACACAAGTGATGACTAAGAGCACAGGCATCTTGGTCATGTGTAAAGGTGAAGGATCAGTAAAGTTCCAGGGTAGTTTATCTGTCCATAGCTGAGATCTGAAATAGAAAATACGTGTGGGACAGCGTTCCCCATATGTCAAAGAAGTCAACGAAACAAAAAAAATTTCAAATATGCTTTGAGTTTTTGGCAACAGTGTTTTATTGCAGGACAATAAATGATCTCAAATAAATCACAATAAGTCACAATATGTGATTTATACAGATTTCTGATTAGCTAAGCCATTTTGTTCTTAAAGAGAGAGGAATAAAACGTTAACAGAGCTTTTTGATTTTTAAGTTGAAGATATTTTGTCGTACATGTTATGACTTCATACCTCTGCTATGTATAAGCAAAATGATCTCATAGAAACCTGACTAGTCTGATAATGCAGTAATCAGAAAGTTAAATCATTCTTTAAGAAGCATTTAGCATCCCAGTGGGCTTTGCTGTTTGCAAAAAAGAAACATCACAAGTGGTGATCTAAACTGATGAAAGTACTCTGTGAAGTGATTAGCATCTTCTTTCTTTGTGCATGGCATGAGATGAATTCTGCAGTAAAAGCTTTGAAGAAGAAATGATTTGAGCTCCAGTTGCTTAATGAATCAGGGACTTCCAACAGTGCTTCAGAAATGCTTAAAACAAGAAAATAACAAAAATTCATCATTCTTTCTTTGCTTTTGCCAGCAGTGGATCCTATCAACCAAATACTAGAAGTAAATGAGTACATTTAAATAAATACCTTGCAGCTGTTCCAAAGAGAAATCCAGAGCACTTTCCATTATAGTGGCCTTTCATGGCCAGAGCCAGAAAACACTTCTCCCGCTCTGTACCATTGAATACTTTCTATTTTCTCCTCTTTTTGTTTGAATTGGAGTGGAAGAGATTTAAACTATCATTGCCACAGAATGGTCATTCTTTTTATAGTATGCTTGGGAATAGACTGCTGTGGGATGGCACAGCTGTTGTGCTGTGCTATTTTCTCCAACAAAGTTTCAGTAAGATTTGTGTTTTGGATCTGATGCCCAAATTTCTGCAGTCAACAAAGGTGTAGATTTCTTTCTCCTCTTTGAGCTGAGTAAACAAATAAGCCTCTTTACCAAAACAGATCTATGGTGGTGATGAATAAAGGAAATGGGAGAGCAAAAGGAAATGGTGAGGCTGGTAGAAACAGTTTAGAATTCATCATCATGGCTGGGCTTCACGAACGAAATTTGGGAAGGCTCTATCCACGTTTGTTACAGGCACGCTGGTGGCTTATGAGACCAATACGAGACAGAAGTTTAGAATTAGATTAAAAGTATATATCAGAATAGAAGTATATCCACCTAGTTACAGACATCATAGGGGAAACTAAAATACTAGTATGTTTTGTGGGTTTTTTGATTTTTATACTAGGTGAGATTACTGGGGGTTCAAAACACATCTCAGTTTTGTTTAAGCTGACCAATACTGCCTTATAGGCAGCTGCTCAGTACTGTATGAACGAGTTACTTACAGAAACACCATTGTTACTAAAGCTCAGAGAGAGAAAGATTTTTCTACATTCTGTTCATGTATTTCACAAATATTTCAGTACATAAAAGCAAAGAAACCCACGTTGTCTAATGCGTGTTTCATAAAAAAAATTTTTTGCTATGGTAAACACAGGACAGTCTTCTTGTTTTCATTTTTATATCTCAATTTCCAGCCCCAAAATGAAATTTGCTATGTTGATTAACATAAGCATTTTGCTTCTAGGCTAAACTCTCCCAAGTGCTCACTTTGCTGGTTTGCTTGGTGAGGAGTGATGGAAGGTGTGCCCTGGAGATGGAAGCAACCCCAATAGCCTACAGCATTTTTTCAGCATAAAATGGCAGTCTTTCAGCTGCTGTAGTCAATAATTAATTTCCAGCTTGGCTTACTGAGCACCTATCTTGGCCTGAAGGATGCATATTGTAAAGCATTATGCATAGAAGTTCACTTGGGATGTCTTAGGTGTATTTTTTTTCCTCCTCTCGTTACTTCCACTCTGGTTTCTGAAGTGCACAGATAGGAGACTGTGTTCTGCACCTCTCTGGTGCAGAAAAATCTTACCAGGGTTGGGGTCTTTGACAAAGGTCTGTCCTGCACTGCACTCATCCTCACAGCAGCTTTCAGGGACTCACAGCTGGTTGGATATCTGTTTATGATGTTCAGGTTGAGGGTAAGGCAGATAGGCAACTGGGAAGTGAACTGGGCATGATAGTGGAGAAGCCCTGTCAGCATCATGACAAAGACTTTTTTTGAAGATATAAGAGGTGGAATATTTAAGTCACTAAATGAGATGGGGGAATACAGTTGTCTTCCTTGTCTCCCACAAAGCCACAGGTGGTTGAGCTTGTACCCGTGTTTGGCTAGTGTTTGTGAAGCTCACCTTGTCATGTAAGCTCCCCTAGAAGTAAACAAATCTTGAAGAGCTTTGCAGGAACCCTTTCTGTATTCTGTAGGGACACTTGGGTGCAAGTAGCCAATCTGGGGTCAATATGCTCTCCGTGTGGCAAAGCCAATTAGCTTATTTTTGCAGTACCTCCACATTACGGTGGTGATCTCCCGTTAGAGAAGCTTGGAAGGCAGAGCTGAAGGGCAGAGAAAAAACAAATCCTTATTAATTGAAGTATATAAGGCATCATAGCAATATAGGGGGAGGATGTGATGATGTAGAACTGTGCCCTAATTCAAACAGCCTTCATTTCCACCTCAACTAGAAAATATTCATAAGATATAGGTAGTACTTGTGAGGGACAGAGCTCATCTGAAATCTTTGTAAAAGGTGCAACAACAAAATGGTGTCTGAAGTACTGGGTAAGTTGCGAACAGGTGAGTTTACTGTCTTTTTGTTATTTTTTTTTTTTTCAGTTCTTCTAGCTTTCAATATCATAAATCTCCTTTTGCTTGCAGAATTCTGCAATGAAAGAAACTTCATGTGCAGGTGTGTGTGCAAGTGTGCACATGCTTGCAGGTGCATGCGCGCTTCCTTTCTGCGGCGGTAGAAAACGGAGAAGTTGAAACCACAGAGCTCGCAACCTGGGGCCTTCTTGGGCCAGCTCAGTGTGCTTCTGACCATTACTGCTCTTCATTAATGCTCTTGTGTTTGAATAGGGAGTTTCATGGCTTCTAATTTGTCTGTCCTCGAAAGATGTAGGGCTGATTTCAGACCTGATAGTTAGAGACTCTGTCATCTTCCGAAAGAAAGGCGTTTTCAGAGTTAGCTGGACTTCCTGAACTCACGCATTCCTTTTTTAACTCACGGAAGCTTTTTTGAACTTGCTTTTGTAGTAGTCAGCAGTGAATAAGCTCTATGGAAGGTCAACAACTTCCCTGGTTTTATAGCCAGTCTGTGGAGGTTGTAGTTTCCAACAGGATCTGTGTCACTTGTCAATTAAACAATAAAATTGCCTCTTTTCCCAGTGTTGCTGCTGCCTGGGTCTCTTTGCTACACTGAGTGCCTACATATGCTGAGCTGCCCTTTCCACGTATAAACTGTAGGATACAAAGAAATTCTCAGTTCATTTTCTAGTAGTTGGTATCTTTGTCAGCTCTAAGACTCTGCAGTAATAAAGCCTGCTATAAAAGCATCCTAAAAATTACTGGAGATGCTAGCTGTTGCCACACGATCCTTAAGTAACTTCATGCTTTATCATGTTGTAACAGAGTTAAAGAGATCCCCTTACAGAGAGATTAATTTCCTCCTGTCTTTTCAGCTATGTGAAGGGCAAAATGAGCCTAGTGAAATGAAGTAACCTGCTGGGACCAAACCACCATATCTTATCATACAGGTTTTTCTTAAAGTCCATTGAGTGAATTACTTTGGAAGATGCAATTTTGAAGAGGAGGAGCTCTTGGATGTTGGTGGTAGGGTTTTATGCTTTCATTGTGCAGATGAAAATGTATCTGTACATAAGGTTTTTTAACTTCTACTTTTATCTTTAAAGGAAACACTGCTTTTCTCTTTATTTTAAAGCTTTTGCTTCTTTTGTGTTCTGCAGTTTGAAAAATAGTTTATGCTTTTCATTAGGTAGTAGAGAAATTTTTTTGCAAATTGGATTTTTTTCCTCATCTGTTACAACTTTACTTTCATAAAGGCCATGTTTAGCAGTTGTGGGTTGAGAAAGTATTTACATATTGGTTCAATTATTCCTATACTTACTTGCTTATCCTTATTTTAAAGATATTAATTTATACCCTTCTTTGGGGATTTTGAAGCTGGCAGTTTCCTGAAGTTTTTCAGCTCTAGCCCTTCTGGTATGTTGGTAAGCTTAAGAGTATTTACCGAAGCTGAAAGCAGTGCTACTGATTTTCCATTCGCTTCTGCACTAAATGTAAAGATGTAAGACAGTTATCTCTAGTCTTAGTTTACCATTCCCATATTAGCCAAATAAATTGTTTTTCATCTCCTCTGTATTCTGGGTAAGAAAATAGTAGCATGTCGAGGTTAATTCAGTAAAGGAAAAAAAAAAAAGAGAGGAGCAAGTTGTGTTTGGAGAGCTTAGGGTTAAGATATTTTTAAGAGTTTTCCTGAATATGGATTCATTTTTGTGGCTTACAAGTTTGAAAACCTCCGTAAAAGTCAGACCTTAGTATTCAAAGAATGTTCAGGTCTGTTTCTCTCTGCAAGAAATAACTGCACCCAGGCATACAGAGGGTGGGGAGATAGGGGCCCTTCTTTTCTTTCTTTTTTTTTTTTCCCTTCCCTGTTGGGACTGAGGAACTCTCCAGACTCTCAGATTGCAGAGAGGTTTTAAACTGATCATTTGCCCCTTAGGCACCCTGTGCTAACTAATGCTTCGTTTAGGCAGTATCAATCAGTAGTGGTTGTAAACTTTTTGGCGCTTGTTTTCCACCCTAAGTATCTCTCCATACACAGCCCTCACCCAATGGGCTGTCACTCACAACTGAGCTGGCAGGATCCAGAGATCTCCTCTCACCTTCCTGCTCCAGGCAGCCAGTGCTTTCTCCAGCCTGGTCTCTTCCCCAGGAGGGGCAGGGAGTAACGGGCTAGTCACCCAAGGTCATCCCACTGTCAAGCTGCCCCATGCTGTGGATTCAAATCCTTGCTCTGTTCTTTAGGCTATGATGGAGAGGTGGAGCAGCAGTAAGATGAATCAAACACAAAACATGGGAAAGTTGCTTACAATGGCTGTTCTTCCCAGTCTCCCCACTGGTACCCCAGTGGTGTTATCCCATATAACCGGAGGTAAGGAGAAAACCAGACAAGTGTAGCAAATAATGGCTGAAAAGGCTAAGGTGAGGTTCTAGCCATTGGATGGCTACTTGCTGACTGTAGAACAAGAGTGAGTTTTGCTTATTAAGTTCTGGTGCCAACTTTCCTGGTCTGTATGTACTGTGTTGAGGTTATAACTACCTCTCATGATACTGAGAGATTTAATTCCATGTACTCTTGGAATTTTCTTGTTCTGTGTTTTGGGACAACTGGGTCCTGAGTCAGCTGCATATGGTGAGAGGGGATTTTGATTTTAGCCTGCTTTTACTCCATCTTACTTTATATGTCTTGTTGGTTTATAACTCAGACGTTTTCTTTTTCTACACAGTTGTGTTCTAGAGGCTTTAGTTAACATGGGCAATTTGCAGCTTAGTTTGTTTTAAACTTCTGTTGAGATACACTGAATGGATGAGGTAAATCTCGGGGCACCACACATCTGGCTTACCCAGGCAATGAAACACACTGAGTGAAACTTCAGGAAATTAAAATATAAACTTTCCTGCCCCTTTTCCTGCAGGGGCAGGAGAGGGGATGGAGCTGCCTGCTTGCATATGTCTTTTTGGTATGTTAACACTTTCAGTACTGAGAGATACATTGCATTTGCCTCTTGTTGGAGCCTTTCCAGTCAGCATCATGGCTAAATGTGATGCCTTGGGATTTTTATGTTTGTGACCTGGGAGGTCAAAACCTTCCGTTATGATATATGCTGGCATCCGAGAAAGCTGATCATCTGGAAGTCCCCTTTTTGAACTTTTGCCAGAAAACTGTCTCTTCTTGTGCTCTTCTTTCCCTTGGGAGTGAAAAGATTACTTTTAAAGGAGATCTCAGGTTTTGGATTAGAATGCCCTAAAAACAAAGCTTCTCCGAAATCCCTTATGTGAACAGTGTTTTGTTTTTCTGTCTTCAAAATGAGAGAAGCAGCAAGTAAGCCTCGTGCTAACTTCCCTGAGATTGCTCAAGTGCTGTCATGTCTTTAAATTTAACAAGTCTGACTCTGTAGCATTTTACATACTCTTATGAGTGTTGCATACATGCAGCCCTGGCTTGGCATTTTATGAATAAGTCAATTTTTTTTTTATCTTGTTTCAGATTTCATATGCGAATGTTAGGGGGGATATTACAAAATCAAGGAATAATTCACACTCTAAGCCTGTGTGCAAAATAAAGACACAAAGAAAAAAGAAGAAAAAAAAAGTAAAAACATGATACCTACCACATTTAAAATTTCTGAACTAAAAATATGTGTTCTTCCAGGTGTAGCAGGCCTCTTTCCAAAGGAGCAACACTGGAGCAGGAATCATTATATATGGGCAGCAGGCATCTGAAAGAAAAAATTAGATCAACAAATATATAGGGAAAGAGAATTTATTCAGGACTGCAAAAATCCACTAGATCCTGCATCCAGATATTCCTACAGAAAGCAAAAACCCCATGTATTCACATAATTATTGCAGATGTTGGCAAGCTTTTATAAGGGCCACTAATTCATTCATATGACTTCCTCTCTCCCTCAAGGGTTCTTATATTTGACCTGTTATTACTACAAGGTCTTTAACCAAAGAATTAAAGCCAGATGTCTTGTAGCTAGGTCTCCTTTTGTTAAATATCCCTTGTAAATAATTTTTTTCTATGCAACAGAAAGATCCTACATGAGAACTTTTAAAAATTCTTAAATAATTAAGGCCAAAAGGCTTCAAACCTAAGATATAATGTATCCTAAAGGAACAGTAAAAGTTTTATACTCACTGTGCTGAGAAATAGTGTTTACTCTAGCTTTTTTTTTATCCTGGACCTTCAAATGTTTCTGATCGATGTTGAGGTTGGAAATAAAATCTTTCTAAAAAGACCTTTTTCTTTATCATAAATTTAAATGTCATGCAGTGCATTTGGGACTCACATGAGTCCAGTTACTAATGCTGTTTCCCAGTTCTGTACATTTTTGATTTCAATGTGAGAGTTAGTTTAGCTGTAGCACTTCCTGCAAAATGACTGGAACTGTCCAAAACATATGATTTAGTTCGTACGTTTTAGTGGGAAGAAATTGTCATCTTTTAGTATTGTTCATCTGTTCTTTGTTTGGGCTTGTTACCTGCTTTTTTTGCTAAAACTGGTCCTTCTTTTGTAAAAATTCAAGTTTAGTCAATTGAGTTTCAGATCCATAAAAGCAGCACAGGCAGGTCTTCTGAGTCTTGTGTAGAAAGTCACGTTTTTGACATGAGTTTCTTGGTTTGATTTTTTTTTTTTTTAATTCTTATTTTTACATCCTCATTGTATACATGGACTAAACAAGGAGCCAGGTTGTTATTCAGAGGAGTTTCTTTTTCTAAGGTTTACCTTTTGGGAATCACACCTCAAGTAATTGATTGTAACTGAGAAAGGAAATTCATTAAGCATTTTCTTGTGAGCCAACAGTTTTATGCAAAACTTCCACATTCTGGTGAGGTATGGGGCTTGTTTGTTGCACCCATAGTTGTTCTTGGCAGAGTACTCTGCAAGAAAAATTAATCCTGTGTTCCCTGACATAGCCATAACAATATTTAATGCAGGAAATAAGGTTAGATGCTTTTAACACTAGTTAAGCCAAATATTGCTTTTCTTATTTCTTGGCTCACTCCTACTTCAAATTGGAATAAGTCAGTTCTGATGTGTTATATTTAAAAACATTCTGTATTTCAAACCCTGCTTAGAAACAGGGCTGATGCTCATACAAATACAGTGTCAAGGTTTCTTTATTGTTCATACAAGCCTTTCATGCTCTATGGACAAACACAGCCCTTGGTAATTCACAGTCTCAGAGCATATTGGCAATCTTAATATTTAGGGTGTTCTTTCTACTTCTTAAGACAGGACAAGAAGGAATGCCCCGATGGAAAACTGAAAGAGTTAAAACCTGCTCGTAAATGTGATCCACTTTTTCTCCTCTTTGAGAAGCTCTTCTTTTAACATCACTACTCTCAAACAACAGTTTTATGCACTGATAACATAAACAAGGTGTCCTGTAGCAGAGTTAACTTTTCTTACTTACAAATTGCATGCTTTTCCCTTTAAGTGAATATTTGAACTGGTCTGGTTGGCCAGAAGCTCGTTTTCTATGCAATTTACGGCTACATCAGAAGTCCTGCTGGCTCCCAGAGCAGATGGAAGCATTTCTGGTTGCTTCTAATCTGGTTGCTGTTACTAGACTCCTCAGAGCAATTGTTTGCGAGTTGTGGAATGCCATTTGGTCTGAAAAACTAAATTTGTTCTGAAGCGTGTTCCCTCCCTGTCCCCCTCCCTGCTCTTCATGCATGTCTCATCCATGGAGGCAGTCATATGTTTTCAGTTCTGATGTCATTCTCTTTTTGTTTTGTTTTTTTCTCTTTTTTCCCCTCTTTTAGTCCACAGCCATGAGCGAACCACAGTGCTACTACAATGAAACCATTGCCTTCTTTTATAACCGAAGTGGAAAATATCTAGCCACTGAATGGAACACTGTCAGCAAGCTTGTAATGGGACTGGGGATTACCGTCTGCATCTTCATAATGCTGGCCAACCTCTTGGTAATGGTGGCTATTTATGTCAACCGCCGATTCCACTTTCCTATTTATTACTTAATGGCAAACTTAGCCGCTGCGGACTTTTTTGCAGGGCTGGCCTACTTTTACTTAATGTTCAACACAGGACCCAACACTAGAAGATTGACTGTAAGCACCTGGCTTCTCCGTCAGGGTCTCATTGATACTAGTCTGACAGCCTCTGTAGCCAATTTGTTGGCCATTGCTATTGAGCGGCATATTACAGTTTTCCGAATGCAGCTGCACACTCGGATGAGCAACCGGCGAGTGGTCGTCGTAATTGTTGTTATCTGGACTATGGCCATCGTCATGGGTGCCATACCCAGTGTTGGATGGAACTGTATTTGTGATATCACTCACTGCTCCAACATGGCACCACTCTATAGTGACTCCTACCTGGTCTTCTGGGCTATTTTCAACCTGGTCACTTTTGTGGTCATGGTGGTCCTATATGCTCATATCTTTGGGTATGTTCGCCAAAGGACTATGAGAATGTCCAGACACAGTTCTGGACCCCGCAGAAATCGGGACACCATGATGAGCCTCCTGAAGACTGTGGTCATTGTGCTTGGTAAGTGCTTACTTTCCCACTCTGTTCTCTCCTCTTTGTTTCTTACCAGGTAATTTCAGTAATGCATGTCTGGCTTCTGGGAGGTCAGCAGCATTTAGAAGACTCTAGAAGAGGTGCAGACAATAAGAACGCCCGGAGTTCATTACTGTGTTGGCACTAGCAAGCATATTTGTGGAATTTGATAGAAGAAACTTAGTCACTCGGCCCTGTAGTATGAAACTGGTGAAAATCCAGAACCCCAAGATGTAATGTGGTGGGGTTTTGCAGCAATGCATGTTTAAAACCTATTGCAGCAGCCTATCATATGCAGAGTTTGCCCTTTCGCCTTTGAAGATACCAAATAGCTGAAAACTTAAAATAGTACAAGAAATCTCAATCTTCCACTGAAGTACCTCTTGTCTTCTTTTTTGCTACCCAAAAGGTGGTGTGTGTATTCATGCAAAACTCTGATATCTGGAGAACAATGAGGGACTACAGGCTATTCACGAAAAGATTGTGTGTTAAGCAGGACTGCATATACCGTTCACTTAGGTCTATAATGTTTGACACATCTCAGTGTCTGTGACATGGAGCACTGATGTTCTCCAGCACACTGCTCAGGAGGTGCCTAAGCATTAGGGCTTGGAAAACAGGGAAATGTAAGGAAAATACTGTAACACACTTTGGACCCAGGAGGTTCCTGTCATTTTGTGAATGACTTTATTTGGGTTTTGTCTTGGGCTCTGTTTGCTTATGCAGGAGCACAGCCCGACTACTGAGTATCATTGCCTGGTGATGTTCTTTGCAGTTTGTTTTTTGTTGCTGCAGATGACAGTGAGCTGAAGGTGGCAGGGATGGTGCAGGTTGTCTCCTTGTCCCAGCATATGTTCCCACCTATTAGGTCTTCCAGCACAGTACATGGGTCTCCTGAGATTCCAGTACCCGGTTGCATCAAAAGGTTACCCTAGTAGTCCATAAATCTAACAGTATTCGGTCCAGAAAGCCCCAAAACTTAGCCCCGTTTCTCACTGTGACATCATGATTCCCATAGCTTTACACCATGACTTGTGCTTTCTACCACAAACATGACAGAATAGTTGCAGAGGTTTGGTGTGAGTCACTGTGTCAACGCACATGTTAGTGTAAGAATTTACGTGTTGCACTTTGATCTAGTGATTAGCTTTGTAACCAGAATGTGAATTGTGCATTTAACTAACCTATTCAGCCATTGATAAGATGTATTCCTACGTGTCTTTCTTTTCAGGGAAAGAATATCTATGAGTTTTGCAAGGGAGACTGTAGTGATGGGTAAAATCTCGACTTCCTGGTGGTTTGGAAGTCTGTCCCTCCCCACCTCCATGATCCTCCTGGCAGAAGGCAAGATGAGGTTAAGAACATAAGGAAAATTCAGGTTTTGCAGTCTTCTTTTGGGGAAATAGTTCCTTGTTTTCCTTCCTGAAGGAATTACTGTTCATACAGCAGTGGAGTATTTCCTGTAAGGTGACAGACTGGCTCAGGCTTGGAAAAAAAAATAAAAAAAAAAAAAATAAGTGTGTGGAAAATAGTGAGCACTTACACCAACGCAATGCAGGAGTAAATAGTCACTGAATAAATATCAGATGTCAGCTAATCCCAAGCATGTATGGGACTAGAGGTATGTATGCAGCTGGAAAGGTGCATTGTTGCACTGTCTTTTATTCTCCTTAGGAGCAGAGGTCAGAGGGAAGATGTACAGACCGCTCACTGTGACTACAACAGTACAGGTACACAGGGAACATAAAGTGACCCTTTTTTTCCGTAATAGGTACCATATGTTTTTCAGGTATTGTTCTGGAAACAGTGGAACAATTCCTGGGGTTAAGTGACATTAACTAAACTGAATGTCACTCCAGTTTAGCTGTAGACGTAGTTCAGTAATACCTCTGATTCCTCAGAGAGGCAAGATTTTTCAGACTGCAGGTAGCAAGTGTTGAAGCTTTCTTCAAAATTCAAACAGGAACTTATTTCTTGTTACTGCTGCACTTCATTCAGTGCTTTGCACACACTGTACTTTAGCACCTCTTCTAATCTGCATAAAACACTGTTTACAAAGAGTGATAACATACTATTTTATTAAATCTGTTTGACGGAAGCAAGGCACTCCTAGGCTGTGACACTCTTCACCCTGTACTTGCAGCTCCCACCTTGGTATTATTTTACAAGGGTTTTAATTTGGTTTGGTTTGGGGTTTTTTCTTCAGCAGTATGGTTTCTTTAGCTGGAGGAGGTCAGTCTCAGAGCTATAGTGTAAAGAAGCAGCAATGCTTCCACATCCTAACCACCTCTAAGACACTGTTACAAGATAAAGATGGCTGGGAAACAGCTGTGGGGTTTTAGTGTAGGGTTGTGTTTGGTTTTTTTTAATTTAATAAATAAATAATAGACTGAAACCAAGAATTAGGCTTTGGGGCAACCACAGAGACTTTTGGGGGAGTTAAATGTTTGTGCATCAAGGTGTTAAGAAATGTTCATTAATTGCCATTAGTTAAGGAGTGCCATCCCATATTGCTGAATTTGCATTTCCAATGGAGGATTGTTTTCTGGTTCTAAAGAAAAAAGCTAAGCATCACTTCAAAGTGCTGCGTAGGTGACATATCTCAGTGTGGAGTAGGCGGTGTGGTCAGCCTGTTGATCAGGTGGGTGTGCTGCTCTGTCACTACTCGCAGTCTCCCTATAAGTCCGGCCTAAAGTTTTCATAAACAGAAGATTTTGTTTCAGGTATCATACTTCCTGAACACTTTCTTCAAAAGGTAGTGCTGCAAGTTTATCTTGGGAAGGGCAGAAAAAGTGTGTGTCTTAGGCTGCATGGAGAAACTTGCTGAACACTCACCTCATGCAGTATGGCTTTTTCTGCATCAGTGAGCTTCAATAACACAGAGGAAAAGAACCCCTGCCTTTTTTAATGGTGCAGATTAGGGTAATAATACATTGCTGTTTAGGGCAGAGACCAACTTTTTGCAGGAGGTGAAGATGGGAAAGGAAGTGTTTCAGTTTATTCTGAAGATCCTTCTCCCTCTTCTTCTGCCCCATAGCTGAGTGGGGAAGGGAGCTGGTGTGTGTCACCCTGCTTTACACAGGAGAAGACAATTCATTTTGGAGGAGAGAGATGGTGCCCAGGCATCCAAGAGAAAACAGAAATGGGAGTCTGGGTAAATGTATGAGCATTGGCAGAGGGAGACAAACCATTCCTCATGTTAGAATCTTTGTTGAAATGCTGCTCAGCCATAACTAACCCCCTTGTGAATGGGGCAGCAATGAACTGTTCATTTGACTTTTAAACTTCCATAAACGGGTGTCCTGGAGTTATCCTCCTGGCTGTACTCCCAAGCCACGCTGCTTCTGCACGCAGAAGAGCATCTTTTCCCCTGTCCCCATCCTCACTGTGTTTTGGGGACAGGAGGGGGAGGGAATTAACACAAGAGTTTCTTGTTCATTAGCTGCCTAGCATGGCCTGCCCTCCTCACGCCTTGCTGCCTTGTCCGAAAGGGGAAGAGCTACCCTAAAGGGGGTGCAGTCCTCCAGGCGGTGATGCTGTCAGCATGTGCGGGGAGGATGCCAGCTGCCTCTGACAAGAGGGTGATTGTGCGGGGAGGGCTGTGGCCGCTTGACGCGCTGGCTGGAGCGGTCGGGATCTGGCACACTGTGTCATCCCACAGAGCGGGTGGCATGCTGAATCCTAGGAACAAGTCAAAAGCAGAGAACAGATTTTTTTTTTCATGCTCTTTTGTGTTTTTTTCCTTGAGTAAAAGATTTTAAACACAAGGAAGTGATTTCATAGCTGAGCCCTTTTTTCTTCTAACAAGGCTGCTTTTGAAATCTTTCAAAAGTAACAAAAAACATAAAGCTCTTTCTCTAGACCATGTCTTTCCTTTGCATTGGGACTAAGGAGGGACTGATCTGTGTACTCCACATAGCCATAAAATCACATCTGGTCTGGCTTGCAGCTTAATGACACTTTGCCTTTCACCACCACCAAGTTTCCCTTAAAATGAGCAATCAGGGAACAGGCAGAAACTGAGCAGATACATCAGCTGAAACTTGGCATTCTCTCTTCCGTTCTCCACGTTTTCTCACGTTACATTTAAAGACAAAGCTAAACTGTTTTTCTGGTGAAGGTCATAGTGAGACACTGAATGGATTTGGCTGGGCCAGATGCAGGTTTGGCTTTTTTAAGAAGCAGTGAAAGCAGCAAATGAAGGATTTCAGAGCTCAGGCCTGGAAAAACTAGCTCTGGACTGGATTTCCTTGGCCTGGAAAAAGGCAGGAAAGCCCAGGGTCTTTCAAGTGTTCCTATATACCTGCATTTGTAGAGAATTACCAGCTTAGAATGTTACTGCTGAAAAGCTAGCCTATATTTCTCCTGCCTAAATGCTGATGAAACATCCAACCTTAGTTTGTCACCTCATGTTGTTACAATGTGGATAACTCTGCCATGTTCCTCGATATGCGTCTTTGAGCATTCTTCTCTGTTTAGAATTTAGGCTGTAAGATTGCCATACTGAGGTTTTGTAACTGAATTTTAAATAACGATAATAGCAACAACTCTTCTTGTGTGTATTTTACTAATCCTGACTATTAGCCTTCTGTGTTATGTGAATTCCCAAGGGTGTTTGGGCAAAATTAGGCATGCCTGTTGAGCCAAGCACCACAGCTAACCCCCAGGATGTAGGGAGAGCAAACAGTAGATTCGTGATTTCTTTACAAAACACCCTTTATGTTCCTGGGAAGTAAAACGACGCTTAAGACTTCCCGCCTGTAAGATCATCCTCTTTGTTTGCAGGAATGAGGTTTACTCTGTAAGACTGGGAAACTAATGTGGGCACACATGAAAAAATGAAGGTTCTTTTTGTATAAACTCTTTTGATTTAAAGGAGTCTTACTGTGTTTGAAGGCAGTTCCTTACTTATTATAACGAAGGAATAAATGCAAGAAAAACATCTGGAAGTTCAATATAAACATGTGGACGGGTAGAACTGCTCTGCA